AAGCAGCAGGGTGTGATACAAAGATGGGAGATCCTATAGTCCTATCGTCACCCTATGGATCACTTGGGAGGTTACGGTATTTACGTCATCGCAGTATGAGCCTTCTTAAATGCTAGAGAAATTGGAAACGAGAATGATCGCTGGCCAGTTCCGGATAACAGATGCTCCCCTCTTTGAGCTGTACCATAAGATGAAGGCTCTCGCACTACAATCCAGGATGAATTATCAGCACAAAACTGGTGTGGGCTGAAGTAAAGACCATGATGGGCTCAGATTACTGGAAGTCAATGGTAGCGGCCATACTAAATGTCAAGACCGGTGGGCACCCATTCGTGAGCACCCATTCGACAGAGAGGTGCCCAGCCATCCTATGTCGACTGATGAGCTCTTTGGCGGCATCGGTTGTTGCATGGATCTTGGCCAATAGAGATAGACCGAACATCTCGCCAGAGGCTAAAGCCAGGTAGAACGGGGTGGATGTAGAAGAACTGCGCCAGATTATGAATGCTGAGCCAAGCAAAACCACAGCCGGCAAGGAAAGAAGGAAAAAGCGGCCCGATCGAACCGATTCGGATATTCATTGAGACAGCAGGACGGTGGTCATGGAAGTCGAAATCCGCTAAGGAGAGTGTGTAGCAACTCACCTGCCGAATGAAGCAGCTCTGAAAATGGATGGCGCTGATGCATCTCACCGAGCCCAAACCAGATTTCGAATATTGAAATGACGCGGACGAGCCGGGCTCGACACAACGAATAACTGAAAACCATGACGCTCCGTTCGAGGGTGATGAACGATAAGTCCGCTTCGCAGCACAACGCCACTGAGATTAGCTAAGTTGAGAACACCGCCTTCGCTTTATCGATCCCACAAACGCAAAAGAGATGTACTGGTGGCATCTGAATTTGAAGGGTGGCATGATGTGGAACATGCTATGCGAGAATATGTGCGCACACACTAAGAACTAATCTTTGACAGCGCATCCTATCACATTAGATACCCGCTTGGGCAATAAAAAATTAACAAGAATATCCACTGCCGGGACTTGA